CTCAGCCAGTGTGAGCGAAATGGCTACTGCCTGTGCTGCAGCCAACAACTGGCAGGGAGACTTGGGGTTCAGTATTGCATAAAGAACTGCATATTTAGCAATGCCACTTTTTCTCTTTGAAATACCTGTGAGGGTTTGGATCAGATAATCAGCTTTTAAAACCAGTGTGCACAAGGAATTATTCCAAGTCTCCTCAGATTATATTCAGGACCTGATCAGGCAGTTTCTTGCTTTCTTTCTCCTCTTTCTCCCCCTCTCTAAATATACATATCCTGACTGACTCCTATGAGATTAATTCAAACAGAGCAACTGCTGGATTAGACCTTAATCCCTTTTCCATCCATTTAAATCGTCCTGAATGGTGAGGGATTGTGGTGTGTTCCAGGTTGGCCTTATTCATTTTATTCTGGCATCTTGTTGCTGTTTTTCTGCCTCTTTTTTTTTTTTTTTTTTTTTTTTTTTTTTTTTTTTTTTTTTTTTTTTTTTTTTTTTCCTAAATTCTCTGGCTTCAGTTGAATTTGTAACTTGAGATCTTATCAATATGGTCTGGCAGTCACATTTGTCTTGAGGGGATCACTTTGCCCCCTTCTTGGTCTGCAACAGCCAGTTGATTCTTATGAAACATCCCTCTCCCATCTGCCCGATTTGCTCTGCAGCTTCATGGGGTGCAAACTTTGAAAGGATCAACTCAGATTATCCACATTTACAGCTGTTTTTTCCCAGTAGTGCACCCCGACACCAGTCACTAACTGCTATATACAGTAAGATGACAGCAATGCCCAAATAGCAGAGGGGTGGGCTGCTACACAGAAAACTCATGCAGGAGTTCCCTCAAGGGAAGCGGAGGTCACCTCCTGGCCACTAAACTCTTCTTAATCTGGGATTTAAATGGGAGCACGGCTCTGCACAGCCCGAGCTGCGGCGGCGGGACGGGCACACGCTGTCCAGCACAGTGCACTCCGCCCCTGCAGCGCGTACAGCCCAGCACCCGCAGCCCCAAAACACTTCTGCCCCAAAGCACAGCGCAGGGCCGCCCGCCTGCCCTCCCAGGGCCGCTGGGGGCTCTCTGGGAGCGAGAGGGAGGCGACGGGCGGGCAGTGAGAGCTGCAGCGGGCGAGGCCGCGGGGTCCGGGTGGGCAGGAGTTTTCTCGGCCGCGACGGCGGGTCGGGAGCCGGCCCAGTGTGCGCGGGCAGTGCCCGGGGGGCCAGGGCCCGGCGGCGGCGGGGCCGCTCCTCCCGCACGGCCGCCCGAACGCGGGGTCGTGCCGCCCTCTGGTGGGGCCGGCGCGGCGCGGCCGGGCGAGCGGGCGGGCGGGGTGCGGTGCCCGTGCCGGGCTGAGGCCGGCCTGGAAAGGATGTGGGTGGTGCAAGAGGTGCTTAAGTGGATGCGGGTACGGGCAGAGGTTTGGGCGTCCGTGCGGGCCCGTGTGGGGCTGCGAGTAGCGGTGAGCGAACGCCGCCACCTCCCAGCCCGGAGTCGCGCCGTGCCGGCTGCATTACGGTGCTGAGGCAGATGAAGCCCATGCTAAGCTTTGACCCTGCGGGTAACCCATTGCCCCCGTTCTCTCTCGGCCCCCACTGCCTCTTGAAGCCCTTCGTGTGAGAAGTGGGGACTGGTGTAATTTCAGTGGAAACGACTTGGCTGTCCCTGTCCCCAGCCAGTGAAAAGTGGCCCGTGGCAGTGCTCAGTAAGGGCAGCTGGACTGGAGTATTCCCTCCAGGAACACCAGGCACGTGATACAGGTGCATCAGGCATTAGAGGTTTAGTTGCAGCACGTGGCTTAGTGCACTGCCTCAGAAGGGTCTGCCCTGGGCTTTTCACGCTGCCAGGCTGGAGTGTAATGTTGCATCAGAGTGGGATAGAATCACGGACTCGTTTAGCTTGGAAAAGACCTCTAAGATCATCAAGTCCAACTATTAACCCAGCACTGCCAAGTCCACCACTAAACCATGTCCCCAGGTGCCACATCTACACATCTTTACAATTCCCCCAGGGATGGAAACTCCACTAGTTCCCTGGGCAGCTTGTTCCAGTGCTTGACAACCCTTTCAGGGAAGCATTTTTTTTTTTTTTTAAATGTGCAATCTAAACCTAATAATAAATCTAATAATAAACCTAAAAATAAATAAAACAGATGCCACTAATAGCCAAGACTTTGCCTTAGCAATCAGCTTAGTGAGAGGATATACCTGCCTAGCTTTGTTTTGTTGCATCCTGCTTTTGTTTTGTTGTGTCCTCCTGAAGATGTCTAGTAGAAGCTGAAAGGTTTGAAATGCCAGTTGACATGAAAATTTTAGCTGGTTCGTGTGTGCTTCTTGTGTCTTACTGAGCTAGGTTTGTTTATGCTTAAACAATTTGAGATTAACTGGATTAATATGAACCGTCTATGTACCACTGTTTGGGATAAATACAGTGCATTTATTTTTTGGGGGCTGCAGAAAAAAAAATGGTATATTGGCCCTTCCAGCCACATGCAGGAGATAGTTGTGGATTTCAGAGCAGAAAGCCTTTCTATCTGAGCTCCTGAAGTAGGGAGGGTGCTCTTTGCTATCTGGCGTCAAACATATTTTGAAAGTGTTGTTTGCTCATTGTCATTGGTACCAGCCCAGATCTCTGTTTGCCAGTGCTGGTGGTTTGGCATCGCTGATCTAGAGTGAGATCAAACAAGGGGAATATGGAGCCAGAGCCTCAGTATATTTACCCTAGTGTGAGTGAATGGAGAGATGCCAGTGTTAAATGTAGGTAAGCAAATACATAATCTGTCACTTAAACTCATTTTTACACTTGGTAAGAATAACTTACAAAGCATCCTGTTGGACTACAGCAAAAAAGCAAAGACTGTGTGCATCTTCTTCATCCCTATACTTTTCACTAAGGAGAAGGGTTGTAATCCAATCCATTAGCAAAATGAAGCATGAATGTTGCCTAACTCCATATCCCTGTCACCCAGCATAACTTACATCTCTGTAATTTCCCTTCTGTGGAATGTGTTCATCCATTCAGCAGGAAGAATAACAACTAGTATATGAAATACCTTAATTCTCTTAAATTGTTTGTAAGTGTCAAGTAGGATTGAATTTAACCAAAATAATGTCTGAAAACACATTTTAATACACCAACTGAACCATTGAACAGCCAATATAGAACAGCCAAAGACTATACATGTATTTTCAATATTTTATTATGCATAGGATTTTGTTCTTGTTGTTACATACTGACAGGATTCTTAGTAGCTCGACACAACTGAATTTTTTTTCTGGGAAACATTTATAGAGGATTAGCAAGTAACTCAGCCCATTAGGGGAGCTGAGAGCAGAGATCTTCTGTTCCTGATGAATGTGGTCAAGGCATTCGATATTATACCATTTCTGATTTGTATGTGAAGCTGGGCCGCTGTGTTTCACAGACCAAAAATGATTAAGGCAACTGAAGTTGTTCCGTTTAAAAATTCCTTGGTTTATTTTTTTTTTAATTTGTATGAAAGAACTATCAGAATTATTTTTAGCTTGTATACGTAAACTACTCTTTTAGTTTAAATTTGAAGGTATGTCCTATACAATCTGCTGCAGACAACTGGCAACTGTGTTTGCAAGTAGGCAAACATTACTTAACCCTCAGATAATGCTGTGTTTAAATGATTTAAATAGTTTGTTTGATTATTTATGTTTTTTCTGCCGACTTTCACAAATAATCTATTGAATGAATTTACTACCAGCTATTGAAACAGCAGCATTTAAGTAAATATTACACAGTATTTTCACAAGGCTATTTTCTCTTTCAAGAATCTAAATATTGAAGCAGAAACTTGATGCGAAATGTCTCATTTAGCTAATCAAAGAAAATAAATATCTGCTCTCTGTCTGGTATTATGAGTTTCAGCATTATTTTGACTAATTCTGCAATGAACTGCTGTGGACAACAAATAACTCACACAATAATTTCAAATGAATAACTGAGAAACTCACAACAATGTCTGCAGATCAAAAAAGGACATTGTAATTGAGTAAGTTATTCATTGGGATTTATCCACCCAGCCATAACTGTGTATTAACTCTTATTTGTGTGGGGCTTTGGAGAACATCAGCACCTTGCTTCTATCCCTGCAGGATAGTCTTGTTGAATGTCAGACAGGTGGTTAGGTAAGACATCTGCAATGAATGGTTTACAGGATTTTCCTTCCAGGCCAACAGTTTGTAAACAGCCTTTTAAAATGCTGTGAAAATTATTCCATTTTCCATTTGCCCCTGGATAATAAATAGCAGAAGCCCTGCGATTCACTGTGTCTCTTCCCCAGTTCATCTCCTGAAGGTGAAGTGCAGGGTTAGAAGTCAGTTTCTTTTGGATTTCCTTTATGGCTGAAATTTGCTAACAAAACTTGATTACTGCTGTGTAAGTAACTTGAGCAGAAATGGCTACTTCTGGCTGTTTGCTGAAGCAATCAGTTGCCCTAAAAGTATAACAGCAATCCCCTGCTGCTATTTGAGGTGTTCCTCCACTTCCAATAGCATTGTTCTGCTGTAGAGTGAAGGATCCCCCAGCAAAAGGCATTGCATGCTCCAGCCATGTTATTTGGCCATGGTTGGGTGACAATAGGTTTGCTACGCCTCAAAGAGTCTCCATGGGATATTTAGAGCTTTCCTCAACTTCAGAGCTGAATCATAGCTACCTGCACAGCACATATCCATGACTCTTTGCTTGATTTGGGCTTCCTTGTTCGTGAATGCTACAAGCATGTTGAATATAATTGAGTCAGATTGTGGCAAGTGACTTTGGCTATTAAAGATTAATAAATCATACTTACCATTTTTAGGATTTGCGTTAGCCATCAAACACCACAGCCAGAAACAGGACTGTATTTCTGTGTGAACTAAATATGAATTAAAAAGTCTTGCCCTGGTGCAATAGCTGAAGGCAAATAGTAGTTGGTTCAAATGAAGGGCAGGGTGGTGATAATTAGGATATCTTTATATTTTAATGCCTGTCTTTCAGCTGGCTAATCCTATGCACATTTTCATTCAGTTATGTTTCATTTTCTGCTTCCTTATATTCTGCAGATATTGTGCAATATGAGTTGTTTACATTTCTGTCTCACCTTCCTGGTACTGCCAAAGACAAATGACCTTCATGCCAGCATTGTTCCATGGTGAGCTTTGCCTGGAATTGGAGAAAAACTGAAATGAACAGTTCACTGTGACCATGCAGCTTGAGTCACTTGAACCATGTCAGATGACAAACTATTCTTAGTGGACCTTCTGTGCAGTCAACTTATCTTCTAAGGAGGAAAGAAACCCTTTTTCTCAGGTGGGCGCTTCACCTTTCACCAGGAGATTTGATTGGCCTCTTTTGCTCCTCCGATGCATTTGTCCCCTCATGTTTTTCATATATTCTCTGTGCCAGTAAAAGTGCTGGATCTCACAGAATGAAGACAGTTAGGCAAACAAGGTAATCACTGAGGCTTTTATCAAGCAGTTCCTCAAAATTAAACTGAGCAACATTTATCTGGGAAAACATAGCATTGCTCTGCCTGGCGAATTTCCATTACTCTTGCATAATGTGGGTACATTTGGCATAGACATACCAGGAGATTCAAGTCTCAGGAAAGGATGCCAAGTAGTCACATCTGCTGGCTTGGGTGCCAGAGCAAACACTCCACATTGCCTGAGTCAGGGCTTATGCTTCTTTTGGTGTTCAGAAGACTAGTGGAGGGAAAATTGCTTAAAGGAATTTCAGCTGAAAGTTTATATAGCTCTCAGATTTCTTTGAGCTGCTCTGAGGTCTCAGCACTGATTATCACCCAGATAACTGTTCCCCCAACACCAGGATGGCTCATTCAAGATCAGTGAGACAATATACTGGGAAAGCACTAGGCTGATAATTTAATGTGACTTTTATGAGAAAAGGACACAAAATTCTGTGTTGTATCACTTGCAAGATCCCACCTATTTCTAAGTCATGGTACATGCAAATGATTCCCCAGACATCCAAAGAAGTTAAGTTTCCTCATAATCCCAAGAATACTGCCCAAGTGGGATGAAATGCTCTCATTCACTACTGCCTTGTTAAGCTCGTGTCTACTTACATCCCAAGGAAAACTACCTTTTTATTTTTTTCTTCTTCCTTGGGAACAAGAATCTGAGACAACAAATCATTCATCAATTAAATCCCCTGTTTGATTTCATAACTCCTGGGGAACGGCTTGCCTTGCAGATAGTATCAACATGTTCCAAGGCTAAGTGGGGACTCACATATCTCCTGACTACTCTTTAATGCATAAATGTAGTTACACAGTTCAGTATGATAAACTCGGTGCAGACAGTTGACATTGAGAAAGCAGCTAAACTGTTGTTTTCTTTGCCAGCGGGAGTAAAAGATACAGAGAGAGATGGTTTAGAAGGTCAATACAGAAGTGTATACGTCTCCTGTGCCAACAGCAACAACACAAAAAATGTTCAGGTGTAAGGCTGGAGGGAAGTTAAGGCTGGGGAAACTGTCACAGTCCAAAACTAAGATTCCCACATCTCAAGGCACACGTGTCAGGGGTTACTTTAAGTTACTCAGAGCAGTTGAATTTCTGTAAGCCCTCTGAAAACATAACCAGCTATAGGAGAGATACCAGACTGGTACTAGCCAGCATCACTTCATTATAGCGTGCCTACCTTAAGATGATAATTTTACTGTATCACCAGCAGCAACATGATAGCGTACATTTTGAGGGGGAGAGTCAAGGAATGTTTAAGATTTTTTTTCTCTCAGGAGGACTTCCCTAGAATATTTTATGGATCTTAAGCTGTAGTTTTACTTCTTCAAGCCTACTTCTGCAACATTTTCTTTATCAGTTAAAGGCATGGATGTTCATGAAGCATAAGTTTCGGAATGACAAGCACACATTTTTCTTGAACAGCCTGAAATAGGTATGTCCAAGTGTTCCTGGCAAAAATGGCTGAGTAGCCTTGGAACTGAAAATGGACAGTGCTGTAGAGTCAGTCATACATGACAACTGCTGTGTGAGCTGGATTTAAGACTCAAAGTACATTTTGGAGGTGATGCATGGGGTTTGTGTCTCCTTCAAAAGTAATAATTAATTAATTATTTCAGTTATTTGATGGTATACAGTACTAGAAGGAAGTGTTGACTCCATCCACGCGATACATTATTTGCTGTATGTGAAGCACTGGGATTTTCCTACTGAAGTGAAATACATGCCTTTTTAATGCACTGCTGAAATACAACATCTCTGAATAAACTGTTTAAAGTAAGGTTTGTGTATTAGCCCCCAGCAGCCAAGCTAAGTCTGCAGTGAGTTCAGATGAAGCTCCTCAGGGCTTCATCTGGTTGGATCTTCAAAACTTCAAAGGTTGAATGCTTTACAACAAGGACACTTGCAATAGCTCAGTTTGTGACCACTGAAGGTAGGAGCTTCACACTTTCAGCTAGGCTACTGCCTCTCTGATACAACACCTCTTCCTGACAATTGTGGAGTTTCCTCTTCATTATTGAGCCTATAGATTGTCAACATGGTTTGTCACAGGAAACAGATTCAGTAGAGCAGGGTAGAGATGCAAAGGGAATTGTGGACAGTCTTAGCATCAAAATATTAAATATTAAAGCTGCACCACTAAATTGTGTCACCACATCTTTGGACAGCTGAGCCTAGTAATACAACTGCCTGTGTCATGATTTTAAAAGTCTCTAGATGTTAGCATGAAGTATTGTCGACTGCATTTAGAAACCTGGAGTTTTCTGTTTGCTCTAACAAAGTTCTACCTTTCCTATGTCCTGCAGAAACCCTCCAAATCTTAATACTTGCAAATAATATTTAAAACTGAACTCTTATGTTGTAATCCAGCAACAGTGAAGGTATTTTTGTATTTACTGTGTTTCATTCCACTAAATAGGATTTAAGCTATTTTTCATATTCAGAATTGCTACAAGTGGTCTACCACACAGAAGCCACTTAATGGCACGATTCTTTTATGACATGTATAGTTGTGGAGAAAGGGCAAACGCAATTCACCTGCAAAGCCCTATTCTCAAAATAATCAAGCTACATTATAAAAGAGTAGTCCTAAACTGTCCCCTACATGGACAGTTCCTCAATAATTTCTCTGTGTCAGCCTCCTGAGTATGAAATGCCATCATGACTGAGCATAGGGAAGTAAGTGATTTATAAATAAAATTAAGCCTGCAACAGCTAAAGATCTACATGAGACTGGAGAGCTTGTTTGCTGAATTGCTATGCAAATTTAACAATTAAATCTTTTTTCAGCTCCTAAGGGAATGAAGAGAAGGAATTTGACACGACTGAAAAAAAAAAAAAAAACCAGCAGATGAAAATGGAAGGATTCCCTGCAGTTGATCAGTTCTGCCCTGCACAGCAAGCATCACACAGTTAGTAAGAGCTACTAAAGAGATTTCCAGGAAGATTTGTACAAAGTAGAGGAAATACAATGAGGAAATATAAAACCTCCACTGCGTAAGTCAACTTTTATTTGTTTGTCTGTTTGCAAAACTGAACTATGAATTTATCTTCAATACCTTGAGAACTCCACACTTCGGGCTTCTATATCCAACCAACTCAAAATAACCAAATAACTTCAGAAAAGGAAAAAATAAGTCAACCCAGAAACAACAACTCTCTTTGGTCTGACTGATCTGAGCCTTTTAAACTTTATTTATTTATTTATTTATTTATTTATTTTCATTACCCCGCTTCATGAGCTTGGTAGTTTGAACAAGAGACTTCTGTTTTGACAGCCTGTCTCCTGGGTTCCCCACTGAAAAGGCCAAAGCTCCCAGTGAAGCAGCAGTAGCTGCCTTTAAACAGGAGACGAGCACTTCTTGCTTTCTTGTGCTGCATGCAAATAGAGAGGCTCAGAGTTACCCAGCTCTGCCAAGCTTCCCCCTAATGTGCCTTCTGCATGGCAATGGCCAGCACAAGTGATCATCCAGCACCGTGTCTTTGAGCGTGTTAATGTCTCTGACCCCGGTCCACTGATCACCCGTTTCGGCAGGGGACTCATCATCTGTACAAACAGCATTTACAGAGCCCGCAGCCTCCTGGCTGTACGTGACAGAGAGCACTGCTTTATGCTCTGGCTCTTCAGCAGAGCTCAGTGAAGGGCAGCTGCCCCTTCCGTGCTTGTAAGTAACACTTCCATGACAACACCTTCAGCTCATTAGTTTTGTTTGTTTCTTTCCAGAATGGCAGTATATTTTCTAGGTTTTTTTTAAGTGCAGTAAAGAATGGGCCATCATATCTGTTACTAAGCTACCCACGGGGTAATTCAGGAGAAGGCTGGAGGTTTTAAAAACAGAGGAGAGATGATCACACTGCAGAAACTATATTTAATCCTTCAACCCCCACCTCACCACCTGATCCTCTGCTGCAGTGCCAGTACCAGAGCCCAGTACAAACATTCATAGTCACACATGCATGAAAATGTGTTTAATAAAATGAGAAACTCTATACCCCAAACTGATAAAACCTCAAGCAAACATAGTCAAGATGCTGCCCTCTTCTACCTTACTGTTCCTTTATTTCTTTGAGGAAGGAAAGAGTGATACTGCCTTCCCTTTTCCAAGTGGAAATCAAGTAGCCTGTCAGCCCCAGATGAGTTAAAGGGCGGTGGAATTTTATGAGAGTGGGAAGGGTAGGGATTATCAGGGTGTTTGTGAAGGTGATCTTTGAGTTGATATGTGTAGTGGTTTTCCTAGGGCCACACAGCAGCTCTGCTCTGCCAAGGCACAGGCCACCATTCACATCTCAGTTTTAACCTGGCTGTGTTCCCCCAGCCAGGGACTCAATACTGTAAAATCTGTGCCAGTATGAGATATTAGTGCCACAGATTGGGAAAAAAACTAATAGTCCATTGGCACCGTGAAACTTGCCCTAAATTTGCACCCTAGAAGCAAAGAAAAGACAGATACAGAAACATGTGAAATCTCCATTTAGTCATATCAAAATCCTTTACTGATTACCTTGGGGGGAAGAGGGGGAAGAAAAGCATTCTATATAAAAGCTTATTTTCCTCCCTAAACTCCACAGAATCTGGTCAAACTCCAAATCCCTTTTCAAAGATTTTTGATAAATTTCACAACACAAATATTTCAAGGCACTCTTTTGTGGAAGACCATGTGTGTGCAGTGGATATTCCCATATTTTTGTTCTGAATGGCCTGTTTTTGCTCCTGCTGTAAAGACTCCACCTTAACAGGAGCATGTGGGCAGAGATTAGGAACAACAACAAAATTGGTTTTCTATTTTCTTTCCCTACACATAATTACCCACAGTGAATACAGTTGACTATCATTGCTGCTATGAGGTGTGCACATGAACAGCAGCTAGGCAGATACAGCAGGCCCAGAATAAGGATTCATACAAAAGACAAATGCAGTAGGATTGGTGCAGGGGTGAAGGAGGACAGAGGCAGCAGTGTCCCTCACCTGGCCTGCAGATAAGGGAAGAAAAAGGGAATGTGCTCTGTCAAAAAGATACTGAGAGCAGAAGGGGGAGAGAAAATGAGGCACTGACCACTGGTTAAAATAACACAGAAAAGAGAAAATGTCACCTTCAGGGAGGAGGTGGAGCATTCTGTAAATGCTGATTCAGGTATAGTCTGAACCAGGGCAGAGAGATATTGAAATGAAAAGGCTTCTGTTTACTTTTAAAAATTGCTGTGCAATGACTATCTACTTGGGTCTCTGCCACTTTCTTCCCAGCATTTTCTGCCTCCTGTAACCTGGCTTGTCTTATTTGCAGGGGCAGTTTGGCTCACAAGCTGTTCTCTGCCAGCTCACCTGCCTTCAGAGCCAGCTTTCACAGTGGTCACAAATCCTCCACTGCTCCTGCCTTTTGCTGACTGCACTTCCTGGAGTAAGTATCTCTGGTAGCTTAGCTTTAAAGCCCACAAAATTTGGCACACATCAGGTCACACTTCCTTTGTGGTCTATTCATTAGTGTTCTCCATGCCAGGATGGGAATAAGAAGAAAAGACACAAACTGTGACTGAGGTATGCTAAGCCTTCAATACCTACTTGCCATAAGCTAGAATACCATCCCTTGGTTTTATAAGCATCAGCTTAACTCACAAAATTAGGGGAAGGGAAAAAAAATTGCACCCTGAGGAAAATTTTCTTGTTCAAGTTAAACATTTTTCTCTTGAACAGAAGGGTCTATAGAGGAAATGCTGATGCAACCTTAACCTTGGCAACACAAGCACTGGGGCTGTGTTAATCAGTGTAAAGAGCAGAATCAGTGCTTTGAGGATCAGTAAGGATTCTTGAGAACCTTGCACGGAGTGGTACAATAAGAGCAAAAAAAGAGTCACAACTCAACAAAAAAGGCTTAGAAATTTCCCTTCCTCTGCTAAGGTTCAAAGGCTTCTTTCTCTATATTTGATATGAAAGCAATAAGAAAATAAAATGTCATTATCCAGAGTCTTTAAACTAAATGTAAGTCCTATCTCCATGCAGATCTTGACAGCTTCAGGCCAGAAGAAAGTAGCCGCTCACGTTACTACATATGTAGAAGCTGTGTGCATGTGTGAGAACAGTTGCAACAGGGACAGCCTGTTACTAGGAAGCAGATACGCTGTTTCAGGTTCATGTTATCAGGAGACTCGAAAAAGTTGAAACCCAGCCTAACCAGGCTGCCAATGGACTCTAATGAAACTTTCCATTTGGAAAGGCTTGATGTTGACTTGGCATGACACCAAACAAGCAGCCTGCTGCAAAATTTTACACCAATTGTATTTCTCCTAATTAAACCCTGTCTGACCTCAGCATTAAGAAACAATTTGTTTCAGGATATAACCAGCACACATAGCAATTACATTCTGTTTGCCCTGCTAGTATTATTTGGCTTCCATGCTTTCCAGTGCTTCTACTATTCCAAGTGCTGCCTGGGAGCCAGAGGTATAGACAGTGTGCAGTGTTCAAACTTTTTTGTTGGGTAGAGAGGAAAGGGAGGAGGGGAAGGGAAGCTTAAACTGAAAATATCATAAACTTTTAGTCATACCATAAGCACCCAGAAGCAGGGATCAGATGGTGCTTTCAAGTTTATTCAGGGACAATGAAAGACAGAAATGAAATGACTTATGTAAACCACTGAGACCATGTATATCAATTTCCTACAAATAAAAAAAAAATAAATAAAGATGGGAACTTAATTATCTGTTATCTCTCCTAACTTGTTATTTTTAATTTAGTTCTTGAACTTCTGCTTTTTATGAGTTAGGATAGAAATATGAGAAAGGACAGGCTTTGGTGCCCTAGCTGTGAAACCCTATCCCTAATGGAACACAGAACGCACTTGTCTCTGTTTCTGACAGCCAGGGAAAAGTGACTGTGGGAAGACAAGTGATTTAAAGGTGAAGGTGAAAGATGGGGCCATGCTGCACCTCCAGTGCTGAGGTGTATCTCTGGAGAATATTCCAGTTTGTTAGGAGTCATTCTCACTGACAGTTCAGTACCCCTCAGGCACAGAGGGAAGAATTATTTAATACCATATAGGTTGTGAGGATATAGAAACTGTGTCTGTATCATGGTTTTTTCACAAGTCAGTGCTCTGGAAGACCTGTGTCCTCTGCATATACGTTGGTGCTCATTGGGTAAGGACCCACCTTGAATGATGAGGAGTCTGGAGGAAGAGGAAAAGGGAGAAGAAAGAAGGGGGTGGTCTGTGGACCACACTTTCTGTAATGTATGCAGGCTGGATAAAATGTGAAAGACATTTGTAGACATCACAGGAAAGAGAGGAGTAAAGCAACCAAATGAGGTGTGCCTTGCACAGGACAAATCAGCTACAGTTTGGAGATCTCGGCATTTTTAGTCCACAATGGGATACAGCTAAAAACTAGATCAGACCTTTCTGTGTTTCTTTGTCATTGTGAGACTGAAGAAGACTTTCTAGTGTTCAGATATTCAAGGAACTGTCTGGAAAATAGCAGCAAAATGTGTTTGTGCCAAGGCCATTAACCCTCCATTCTTGCCAACATCAAATTAAATAAACTGAGAAAACAATTTGCATAACACTGTCACAGCGATATACAGTTGAGGCAACCTTTTGGAAAACTGAGCTAATGAAGAGGTACAGTGGAGCAGACACAGTCGGTGACTGCATGGTCAGACCAGAGAGTAACCGAGTTCAACCTCTGGGAACACAGTCCTCTGGTATGTGTGCAGCCCTCCCATAAATTGGGTTGGACATCTGCGTGGCTCATATGGGCCATAAAGACAGGTTGTCTGCTTTGATGTCTGTGCAAACTGCTGGGAAGTTTTCCCGATGGTCTTCTAGAGGCTGATGAGATCCAGAAATGTACATAAATATGTGAACTATTTGAAAGCAACAGTATTTGAAAGAGAACAGCAGAGTCTGTGATTGCTGGAGAACATGGAGTCAGCTGGTGTGAAAATGTATAAAACAATCACTCTGTCACTATCTTTACCTGTTCATGCTCTTTACAAGCAGTTGAACCATCTGTTTGAGCAGAACAGCAGCAGCCATTTCCCTGGCTTGCTTTCACTTCAAGTAAGCACATCCAGCAGACACTTCCACACCAGCTTTGCATCCTGGCTACTTTTTATGTCCACATGGCAGCAAATGGAATAGCAGGATGTGCAATCCAGAATACAAGATCTGAAACTCTGAGATGAGACACAAAACAATGTAAGGCACATCTGGAGTCTGAAATCTTTATGCTAAACAGTCACAGCTACTTACAGTTGCTTCAGAATTGCTATAGATTAGCAAAAAAAATGTATATATGGATAATTATCAAAGTATAGTTTAACTTGAGAGATTCTTTCAGTTCTCAAGAAAACATTTAAGCGTGAGTAAATGAAAAAATGCATTTTACACATTGCCTAACTATGCTCATTGTTTTCTGTGTATTAGCATATTTAAACAATTGACTGTAAAGAATGTGTTGTGCAATCCCACATATAAACCCAAGAGAGCATGGCTAAATCCTATGCTAACTCCTTGAAAACATAAAGCTTAATTTTATTTAAGTACCAACTCATGTAGTTTAATTTTCTTTCTTGTACTGATTTTGTTCCCCCATGTCAGGCTCATAAAAAACAAAACAACTACTCAAATAAAACCTACCTTAGCACCTGCAAAGTTAAGAAAAAACCCTACAGAAATGGAAGCTCTCTCTTGGAGCTGTCTGGGAGCAGATACTACATGTTTTTTACAGTTGATTGTGTAAATATGAAAATATGTGAAATGGAATATATTTAGGCAAGTTTTAAAATGCATAATATTTATTCAACTCTAATAACTTCTTATTAGGAGTCAATAGAGTCTATCAACTAAATGGCTATTTCAACCATTTTCAATAGACACATTATTTACTCAATAGACCATAATGATTCTGAAGGAGACATTAGGGCCTATTATGCAAATCTGTGTGTATTGTAGGTGTATTCAAAAATAGTGAAATTTTGACCCTGGCTGTTCTACAGATCCTGATGCCATTGCTCCTTAGAAAGCAAATTGTGTAAACCTAGTTTGAATGAAATAGAAAGGTTAGAAATAGCACGGTGGAAATAATAGATATTTTTTGGTTGGGCTGCAGAGCAACAAATATTAAAAAGTTTCAGTTTAATTTGAAGCAGTTTTTTTGTTCAGCAAAATATTAAAAAAAAAAGGAAAGGAAAAATAATTGTGTCTCAGAAGAAACATTACCTTTCCCACACAATGTTTTCACTCCTTTCTTACCCAGTAGCTACACAAATATCTTCATTACATTTTTGGCTGGTTAAAACATTCTCCCAGGAGACCTGCAGTGAATAACCTGCTTGACACTGGATGTGAGTGAGAGGTTTGAACATGAATTTGGACCTTTGCTAAGATGGCAATGCTAGTCACCCAGCACTTTTGTTGGTCAGTCCTCTAATTTTTTTCCAGCTATACTGCTGACAAATTATTTCAGGCTGACTGAGAACAAATTTTAAAAAAATAATTACTGCAGGAAAAAACCAC